AGTCAGGTTTCTTTCACTGAGCATAAAGCATTTGTGATTGTATATATAATTTGAGAGAGAGAGAGAGAAAGAGAGAGAGAGACAGAGAGAGAGAGTGTGTGAGCAAAGGAGAGGGGCAGAGAGAGAGAGAGTGAATCCCAAGCAGACTCCGTGCTCAGCACAGAGCCCAACGCGGGGCTTGATCCCACGACCCCTGGGATCGTGACCAGAGCCGAAATCAAGAGTTGGATGCTCATCCTGACTGAGCCATCCAGGCACCCCTATTTGTGATTTATATATATGTTGTTGCATATAAAAGTAGTTTGTTTCTTTTTATTGCTAATTTGGAATAAGTAGCAGATGAAGCTACCCCACAGGAGCCTCACAGTCTTTGCCCTGTCAAATTTTCTACCCTAACCATTTGCAACCCCAAGATAACACTGATGCTTTATCTTGCTGTTGGTAAAATTTATATATATATGTGTGTGTATGTATATATATATATATATATATATATATATATATATATATATGTATGTATATATATATATATATTTTTTTTTTTTTTTTTTTTTTTTTTTTAACTAGGAATCCAGAGGCTTCTGGATCATCCATGGAGCACTGGACAGGATCCATCATTTCCAGGATGATCATGAGGTTTAAGTTAACATTATGAGTGTATGTCTCAAACTGCAGTACATGTACTCAGGTCAAGGGTTATTTGAAGCTCCCAGTGTATGTTCCTGGAGCACTTGACTTAAATATTTAAAATAAACGCTTAATATCTTTTTTATTAAAAAATTTTAATTTGAAAGTATAACATAGGGGCGCCTGGGTGGCTCTGGTTAAGTGTCCAACTTCGGTTCAGGTCATGATCTCATGGATCCTGAGTTAGAACCCCTCATTGGGCTCTATGCTTCAGTGTGGAACCTGCTTGGGATTCTCTCTCTCTTCCTCTCTCTCTGCCCCTCCCCCACTTGCACCTTCTCTCTTAAAATAAATACACTCAAAACAAAAGAAGTACACATAGAGAAAAGTACACAAATCAGAAGGGTTTTCACCGAGTTTTCAAAAACTGAACACACCCTTATAGCATAAAACTCAAATCAAGAAACAGTTACTACTCTCTCAAGAGTCACCACTCTTGAGAGTCCTTCTGACTTTGAGGATTTTTTTTTTTAAATTTTTTAACGTTTATTTATTATTGAGAGAAAGAGATACACACAGAGCATGAGCAAGGGAGGGGCAGACACAGAATCTGAAGAAGACTCCAGGCTCCGAGCTGTCAGCACAGAGCCTGATGCGGGGCTTGAGCTCACAAACTGTGAGATCATGACCTGAACTGAAGTCGGTCGCTCAACCCACTGAGCCACCCAGGCGCCCCGAGGATTTGTTTTGACTGTGCGTGTACTTTATATGAATGAAATCGGGCAGTAAGTATCCTTTAGTGTCCACTTACGCTCAGCATTGATGGTGCGATCTGTCCATGTTTCGAGTGTAGCTTAGTTTGTCCTCATTGTCTTACAGTATCGCACTCTGTGACTTGTGTCACATTTTACTGGGCCACTCTACACTTGGTGCACCTGTGGGTAGCTTTCTGGGTTTTGGCCACAAAACAGTGCTGCTCTGAGCCTTACAAAGCCTACATTTTGGTGAATATATGTAAGCATTTCTCTGGGCATCTAGATCTAGGAGTGAAAATGCTGACTTGTAAGGTAACTATGACCAAACAGGTTTCCCAAGGGGCGTTTTTTTATTCTTAAAACAATTTACATACAGTACGTTTATATGGATGTACAACAGTTGATTGATTCATTTGTATCACAAAGGGCACTGTGGTTGATAACTTTTGGTGATTATGAGTAATGCTGTCACAAACATTTGTATTTTTTTAATGTTTATTTATTTTGGGGGGGGGTGAGGAGCAGAGAGAGAGGGAGAGAGAGAATCTGCTCTGTCAGTATAGAGCTGTCAGTTCAGAGCGGGGCTCGAACTCACGAACCAGGCGATCATAACCTGAGCTGAAATCAAGAGTCAGACACTTAACTGACTGAGCCACGCAGGTGCCCTAGTTGTCGTTTCTTTAGGATAAACGCCTAGGGTGTGGGATCGCGGAGTAACATAGGAAGCATGTATTTCACTTTGTAAGATAGTGTTTTCCAGAGTGGCCATACACACTGCCTTTCCACCAGCAATCTATGATTTCAGCTACACCAAATCCTCATGAGCAATTGGTAGCGTTAATTTTCAACTTAAAAAAAAAAAAATTCAGCCATTATTTTAATGTGATAGTGGTATCTCTTGTAATAATTTGCATTTCCTTAATGACTAATGATCTTGAGCATCTTTTTTAAAAACTTTTTTTAATTCTTATTTATTTTTCGAGAGAGAGAGAGAGAGACAGAGCATGAGTGAGGGAGGGGCAGAGAGAGAGAGGGAGACACAGAATCTGAAGCAGGCTCCAGGCTCTGAGCTGTCAGCACAGAGCCCAACGTGGGGCTTGAACTCACAAACCGCAAGATCATGACCTGAGCTGAAGTCAGATGCTCAACCGACCGAGCCACTCAGGTGTCTCTTGGGCATCTTTTCATGTGCTTATTTTTTATTTGTATATCTCCTTTGGTGGAGAATATTCAAGTCTTTTGCCCATTTTTATATTTGACTGTTTCCTTCTTCTTATATTTTCAGAGGTTGTAAATACAGTCCGGACATGAGTTCTTTTTCAGGTATATGTAACATGTTTTCTTCCCGTATATAACTTGTATTTTCATTCTCTTAAGACTGTCTTGGATGAAGTCCAGTTTGTTGATTTCTTTCTTTTATTCATCATGATCTTGGTGTCAAACCTAAAAAGTCTTGTTTTATGCAAGGTCACAAAAATGTTCTCCCAAGTTTTTCTCCAAAGTTTTGTAATTTTATGTCTCACGTGAACTCTATTATCCATTTTGAGTGAATTTTTATATATAGAAGTCATAGGTCAAAGTTCTCATTCTTTCTTTCTTGGCATATGGATGTCTATTTCTTTCAGGACCATTGGTTGAAAAGAATGTCCTTTCTCCATTTTTAGCCTTTGTAAAACAATCCACTGACTATATTTGTGTAGTCTTATATCTGTACTTTTCAGTCTATTCCATTCTTTAATATTTTATTAATTTTGCTAATACACATCCTGATTATTATAGATACACAGTAACTTTGCATTTTTTCTCACAGTGAATTTTTAAGTTGACTAGTGTGAATCCTCTAGGCTTTTTGTTTTTCAAAATTGTTTTCACTATTCTAGCTCATTTTTCCTTTCCATATACATTTTATTTTATTTTATGTATTTTTTAAAGTTTATGTTGTGAGAGAGAGAGAGAGAGAGAGAGAGAGGGCGTGCACATGCATAAGCTGGGAGGGGCAGAAAGAGGAAGAGAGAGAATCCCAAGCAGGCCCTGTGCTGTTAGCAAGGAGCCTGATGCGGGGCTTGAACTCACAAACTATGAGATCATGACCCGAGCCGAAATCAGGAGTTGGACAGTTAGCCAACTGAGCCACTCAGGGACCCCCATATAAATTTTAGGATCAGCTTATCTAAATACATAAGAAAATCCTTCTGGGATTTTTATCGTGGTTATATTTAAATCTATAAGGTCAATTTGGGGAATATAGATAATTTCACTGCTGAGTCTTCCAAGACTTTGTATCATGCAACCTTGATAAACTCAGTAGTTATGGCAACTCTTCTGTATTCCCTGAAATTTTCTTTATCAGTCTGGCTGGAAGTATATCAGTTTTACTGAGCTTGTCAAAGAAACACTATTTAGTTTCATTGGTTTTCTGTATTGATTTTCTGTTTTCAATATTATTGATTTTGTTCTTCTCTTTGTTATTTCCTTCATTTGCTTATTTTGGGTTTATCTTGCTCTTCTTTGTCTAAGTTTATGAGATGGAAACTTAATAATGTACGACCTTTCTTCCATACACACACACACACACACACACACACACACACATATATATAATCAATGCTATACTTTTTCCTGTATACACTGCTTTAACTGCATCCCAGAATTTTTTTTTAATGTTTACCTATTCTTGAGAGAGAGAGGGAGAGAGAGAGCCAGAGTGTGAGCAGGGGAGGGGTTAGAGAGAGGGGGGGCACACAGGATCTGAAGCAGGCTCCAGGCTCGGAGCTGTCAGCACAGAGCCTGATGCTGGGCTTGAACTCACGGACTGTGAGATCAGGACCTGAGCTGAAGTCACATGCTTAATCGACTTAGCGACCCAGGCATCCCTGCATCCCTGAATTTTGATCTGTTGTAATTTCATTAAAAAATGTTTTTTAATATTTATTCATTTTTTGGTGGGGGGAGGAGCAGAGGGGGGTGGGTGGGGAGAGAGAGGGAGCCACAGACTCTGAAGCAGGCTCCAGGCTCTGAGCTGTGAGCACAGAGCTCAATGCGGCCTCCAACTCACAAGCTGTGAGTTCATGACCTGAGCTGAAGTCGGACACTTATCCGACTGAGACATCCAGGTGCACCCCAATTGTTATAATTTCATTTTTAATTCAGTTCAAACTATTTTCTAATTCTCCTTGAGATTTCCTCCTTTGTCTCAAGGATAATTCTGAAGTGTGCTGTTGAATTTCCAAGTATTTGGGGGACTTTCCGCGTACCTTTATGATATTGTTTCTACTTTATTTCCTTTATGGTCAGTAGAACGTATTTTGTATGATGTGAATTAGCGAAAATTACAGAGAGTTCCTAAATACACCTTGCCCTCACGTACAGCCTTCCCCACCACCAACATCGAGCACCAGAGTGGTACATTTGTTACGGCCAACGAACCTGTGTCGACACGTCATTATCACTAAAAGTCCATGGTTTACGTTAGGGCTCCCTCTTGGTGTACATATGGGTTTTGACAAATAGATGAAATGTACCCACCATGCGAGTGCCGGAATAGATCCTGTGTGTATTAGTTCGTTTGCCAAATGTGAGTCGCACTATTTTGACCCTCTGCATTTACATTCTTTCCAGGGGCAAGTTTGGGACCTGAGTGACCATCTGGACTTTCGTTCATTTCTCAGAGCCTTTGGTATGTTGCTTGAGGTCCGTCCCATGCGTACACGGTTAGAGACGGCATAGAGGTGCGTCCACCCCTTTCTGTGATCTATTTCTGAAAGCTCCATCCACTCCGTGACTCCCCCGAGACCCCCTAGGTCTCTGGATTCCCTTTCTTGCTCCTGGAGCTAGGAAGGTGAGGTTTTAGCTTCTCAGCATGGTTGTGCATTTCCTGTGACCGGGTCTGGCTCCGAAGTGTAGCATCAAGAGGGAAGGGAGAAAATGACACCAGCAGGATTCCCTCTTGCCTTTTCATCCTCCTGGTCACAAAGCAGGATGTTCTGTCAGTCGTAGGCACGTCTACGGCTGCTGCCAATGCCATCACAAGCATATAGCTTTGGGACATTTGCCCGGGCAGGACACACAGAGAAAGAAAAGAAAAACAACAACAACCAGGGGGGGCTCCTCACTCTGTTCTCTGGCCATAAAGAGGTGGCTTCTCTTGGGCCTTTTCCCCTTGGCGACCGCTGAGCGATTCTGGGACTTGACCTTTCTCCCAAGTGTAAGCCGGGGGATACAGGAGCGAAGAAACAACTGGGGGAACTCGTGGCCCCGTCCGTGACTCTGAGGGCCGACCTTCCCTCCATCCGCCTGCTATGGTTTCCTTTTTAGACTGCTGACTGTGTTATGCATTCCGTCCGGGGTTCTTAGTTGTAATCACTGGGAGAGAGAGAGTGGTGTGGGTGTTCCCTCTTAACCAGCGCCACAGGTCTGCTTGATGTCCAACTGGAAGGGGCCGTTTAGACTTATTTCCATGTGAAAACATGCCGAGTAAGACTGCAAGATTGGCGCGAACATTCCAGATACGGCTCACGTCTTTGAGAGCGTTTAGGCTTGTAGGGGGCTGCGTCCCCTCCGCTCCGAGAGAAGACAAGACGAAAAGAGGGTGCTCTCGCCGGTACAGACCCCACGGCTCCCTGTGGGATCCACCAGCCTTTCAGAAGGCTGCGGGCCCCCTTTGCTCCTAAAGACTTTTCTTCAGAGATTCTCTGCCTCTCTCCTTTTCCCTGATGCCTGGTCCCGTCGGAAGTTCCACCCAGACTTAACCAGTCCTGGAAAACAGCAGAAAGTACCCCTGCCTGCACGGAACATGGCGTCTGGTGGGACCTTTCCTTTCTCCCAGCATAACCGTCGGAGAGACAGATGTCAGCGGGAACTTCATCTCCCTGACATCTTTGCCCCGGGCTTGAAGAGCATCTCTTGCCGTAACAATGTATTCAAGTTATGTTTTCAGATGCGATTTCTTGGGGGAAAATGTCGTTTTGTTGTACGGATGCTTCTTGTTGGAGAACAGGGACGAGGTGGGGATGCTAAGGGCTGACAGGTGTACCCTCGGGGCGGAGGTGGGAGTGATGGCCCCCTGATGACTTGGTGCTGAGACCCAGTAAGGGCAGAGGGGAAGGAAGGGAGAGAGCAAAGGAGACAGGGAAGATAAGGCGGCAGAGGACTCCCGGAGGCTGACTCTGTAGGGACCGAATGAAACACAAAATAGCGAACACTTTGCCTTGTATTGGTGACCAGCCGCCAGGGAGCACGTAGTACCCGATGACCTTCACGAGCAGCCCATGTACCTGGAAGCGGAGTAAGTTTTTCAGGAGTGAAGAATTTCCTCGTTTTCGTTCTCATCTTGTTGAATGTTGTTGATGGGCGAGGTGAAGAGACACCCGTACCTCTTCTCAAGCTACTCTTGGCTTCTGAATATTACAGGCAAGTCTTTGCCTGTTGTTTTCTTTTTTATGCCCGGTGGTCTAGGGCTCGGAAAGACCCTGCCAACTCCACGGCCAGCTGCTGCTCCCGGAACCTTGCCCTGGAAGGTGACCATGACAACGGGCACCTCGATTCCTGCGGTCATTTCCGTGAGATGGCTACTTCTGAGCACTGGGGCTGTAATTTGAAATCGGATAATCTTAGGTGTTGGACCTTTGGCTGCCTTTAATATCTGGTGCCATTTTGTGGACTCTCCTAATGATAGAATGCAAGGTTTGTCTCAAGTTTCTATCTGTTGCTTGCCCCACATCGGCTTATTGTGACTGTTTAAAAGCTGCCATTTCTGTTCTTATCTTTAGATGTCAAAGGATGCCTTGCCCTCAGCTCTCCATTTGCTGTGTCCTCTCTTTCTCTGCCTTCAGACCGTTAGCATCACTTGCACTTGGGTCATGTAGAAAGCCACATGCGTGGGAGGAGCTGGTGTTGTGAAGACAAGAGAAAGAAAAGCCCACCCTTCTTTTGTTCAGTGGTTCTTGTTGTGGAAACACTTGTCCTGAAAGCTGCCAAGAAACAAAAATGGCGGGGGGAGAAGACAGGAGACGGGGCGGAGGCTGATCCCCTGAACAATACGGGAAAATGGTCAGCCACAGGAGAAGGAAAGGAATAAAAAAATTCCTGGGGTGTGGAATTTGTGGGGGGAGGGGACTGGCCCAGATGTGGTTGGCTGGGGTAAGCCTCAGGGAAGCAGGAAGGGATGGAGGAAATTTTCCACAGTCAACAACGGCCCTTCTTGTGAGGGGTGAAGTAGGGATTACCTGGTTTATTGCCCAGGTCTCTGGGCTTAGTGGTGGTCGGCAAGAAGGAAAGATCAGTGATAGACCTTAAATGGGGGTTTCTTAGTCTTGGCTGAACACTTGACTAACTTGGGGAACTGAAAACAATTCCTGGGCTCTACTCCCAGACCAGTGCTTCTTGAACTCTACTGTGCATTAGAATGATCTGAAACTCTTGTTGAAATACAGATTCTGGTGAGTTAGGTCACAGGTAGGGCTGAAATCCTGTACGTCGAACAAGCACCCGGTGATGCTGTTGCTGCTGGCTCAAGCATCGTACTTTGAGCAGCAAGGATCCAGAACAATTAAATCATAATCTCTTGGGGGTGGGTCCCAGCCATGGATGTTTTTAAAGTTCCCCAGGTTTTCAGGGTTGAGACCCATTGCTCTGGAGCCTAACAAAAGAAAAGAATGCAAGGACTTGGAGGGGCGGCCATGATGAAAGTTGGCCTTTCTGTGAGGATGTGGCAGATAGGGAGTGAGTTAGAAGGATCTGGCAGCTGGCTTGGAGGAGTCACAGATAATTCATCACAGCAGGTGGCAGTGGCTTCAGGGTACTTGTGGGTTCAGGGTACTCTCAGCTAAGTCCGCGTCAAGGACTTCTGACACAAGTGTGTCTCTTGGTGGTGGGAGAGTGAGTCACGAAGCTTCCTGAGTTCTGGTCCTATTACTCTGGTTCTTTTTTAGAGACAACCCCAAGGGCTTTTTTTTTTTTTTTTAATTTTTTTTTTCAACGTTTTTATTTATTTTGGGGACAGAGAGAGACAGAGCATGAATGGGGGAGGGGCAGAGAGAGAGGGAGACACAGAATCAGAAACAGGCTCCAGGCTCCGAGCCATCAGCCCAGAGCCTGACGCGGGGCTCGAACTCACGGACCGCGAGATCGTGACCTGGCTGAAGTCGGACGCTTAACCGACTGCGCCACCGAGGCGCCCCCTTTTTTTTTTTAACTTCAAAGACTTCACCTCAATCCTCAAAATGGCCCTGTCAGGTCTCAGTCGTATGTTTGGAGTGGTTTTTACCTGATGGAAGAAGAAACCATATCCAGAGCTGTCAACTTAGAACTAGACTCGAAGCAGAATTGAAATGAAAACACTTTGGAGGGAGAAGGAAGTAAAGACAAAACTGAAAACTGAACAGATATGGCTATTTGGGGGGTCATTTTGTAGCCCATCAAATGTCCACCTAACTTCTTGGTCTGTCATCTATTTCCGGGCTGCTACTGGCCTTGCACACCTATTGCTTTCTTCAAGCGATTGAAACAACTGGCTTGGATATTATTTGACTTGCTGCATGGGCCCTACTGTCCCTCCTCTGGAAGCCAGAATTTACCTGCCTTGCAGCATATTCTCGGGCCCTATAACTCAGTCTGATTTTGATTGCCCTGTTGTTCTGTGACTTTGGATAATAGGCCATTATTCTAGGAATTGCCATTATATTCTATTAATAAGAGCTGGGAGAATTTATAACAGCGAAACGTGGTAAGATTTGCAAGTGGAGCCCTCGTATGTCTTGTAAAATACGACTCCGTCGGCCAGCCCACGTGATGGATGAAGACAGCGCACGCTTCCTTCCTGCTTCCCTCCCTGAGCGGCCAGACCTTGGTCCTGGGGACCTTTGACCGAGCCTGGCTCGGGGCCTCCCTGAAGGGGACGTGTGTGGGATGGGCGTGTGACGCACAGGACTTCGAGTGGCGTGGCCACTCACACCTGCTGCTGGGATCATGGTCAAAACTCCAAGCAGGGGCCTCTGAAGGAGAAGGCTATACACATGTCTGCAATATTTTTCATGGCGTTGCCCCTGATGATCCAGAAAATAGCTGCTTCTCATCACAGACGTCTTTGGGACGTCGTGAAGAGGGAAGAGTTAAAGACATGTGCTATTTAGAGGCAATCCCAAAGCTCACATGTTGGCACATTTCCTCTCGGTTTATATTCTTGTGAAGCTTTTTTTCTTTATATAGTTACGTTCATTCTATCTACACGATTCTGTGGGCTCTTCTGCTTCGTATGGCATTGCACGATCCCAAATCATTAACCCTTCCTAAATAGCATTTTAGGCAGCTGCGTTAGTGTGCTAGCATCTAGTTAAGTAATGCTTTACTTACCCCTGTGCATAGTCGCCATCTGTCAGGAGGGACCTGTTCCCCGAAAGCACTGTGCTCGGGGAAACTCCCATCAGTCACCTGGGTCAGACGTCGGCTCTAGATTTGTGGCCAAATCCCCCATGTAGTTGTGGGTAACATGGGACTCATATAATTAGTGATGCCGAGTGGCTGTATTTTTGAAAGAAGATCATTGCCATAAGGCATCGGCACACAGTAAGTGCTTTTTAAATCCGAACAAATCCATGGCACCAGAATTATGTCTTCGCGTTTGCTGTTCCCTCCATGTGGAACGCTCCCCCCCCCCCGGGAATCTGCTTAGAAATGTACTTCGGTTTTCTGTATTAAAAAAGCTTCTCAGGACACTCAATACACAG